CTGAGCGTTTAACAAATTCAAAACGACAATTATTGAAAAAAAGAGACAAAACCAAGCCTTCCTCTATAAAAACCCCGTACGGAAGAGTGTCCGAGTTCCGAGTTTGAAAAGCCGTAATCACTTGTAAGTTATCCCCTTCAATCACAATGTCCTCCCAGCCTTTCTCCTTTGCTGTGATAATGGCACTAAGCATTGCATGGGCTTCACCATCTACCACCGTCGGGCGGCCAATAATCTTCCTAGTGCTCCACCAAATACAAGCTCCGTCAGCATTGCGGGCAACAAGGGCCGTTACATGGTAGTCCTTATCGAATGGAAAAGCCACATCCACATTAATTTTCACCGAACCTTGATCCGGCGGTTTCCACATCGTCGGATGATGGCGATTGTGGGAAAGAACCGGCGGAGTTTGGCTCGCCGTAAAATTATCAAGATAAATTCTGCACCAATCTCGGATATCGGTCGTGGGGATGCCTTCTTCTCCATGAATTTCCTTGTTCCTCTTCTCCCAAATCTTCCATGTAATAACCATGGCCAGGTTCAAGGATTCCTTGTCGAGGTGTTTTTGAAGTTTCTCGACCCATTGCCAAGCAGACAATCCTAGAACCTGGTGATTTATTATTATCTTGAAATCCCGCCATATATTATCAACCCCTCCACATTCCATAATCACATGCATTGGTGTTTCTTCTGTCCTTCCACATCTCCGGCACCATGGGTCTGCCGCAATTCTCCGTCGGAAAAGTAGAGACGACGTAGGTAAAATGTTCGAAATCCATCGCCAAACAAACAATTTAACCTTTGGTGGGAGAGATAACTTCCAAATCCACTTCCAGTTTGATTTAACTTCCCCACTACTCGATGTACCATCCCTCGTGTTTTCAGATTGCCGTGAAATAACATGGTGATAGCAAGAACGGACCGTGAATTTGCCGTGATTTGTGAAATGCCAAATCCATTTATCCTCCACGTTGGTGTTACCAATCGGCACCGCCCTTATCCGTTCCCAATCAACGGGCCAAAAATAATTCTCGACAATGTTGTTATCCCAAGAATGCACAGAATGGTCGATGAGGTCTGAGACTTTATTCGGGAACGATGTATGACTTGGTCGACGTGTAAAAATATGCCTGCCCTCGCTGTCCGTGAGCCATGGCTCGGCCCAAACCGAAGTTGTTTTTCCATTACCAATCCGTTTTCGAAGTCCCGAACGAAGAAAGTCTCGGACTGCCCAAATACTCCTCCATGTCGCCGAAGGTCGTTGACCAACTTCCGCCGAAAAGAAATCACCATTCGGGAAGTACTTCGCTTTCATGATTTGAGAAAGAAGAAGATTTGGTTTCGTTAATAAGCGCCACGCTTGTTTCGAGAGTAGTGCAATGTTGAAACACCGGAGATCCCTGAAGCCGAGTCCACCCAATTCTTTGGTCTTACATAATGCATTCCACGAAATCCACGCCATCTTCTTATTCGTTCCATTACCCCACCAAAAGCGTCTCACTGCCTTTTCGATATCTTGGAGAAGACCTTGGGGTAACATAAAACAACTCATAATGTTGGAGGGAATCGCTTGTAGAACGGCCTTAATAAGTACCTCTTTGCCCGCTTGAGACAAATATTTTTCCCCCCATCCTCGAATTTTTGCCCATACTCGATCCCGGAGAAAACTGAAAATTTGTTTTCTCGTTTTACCCATAGCTGCCGGCATACCCAGGTACTTCTCTTGTTTTTCCACTACCTCAAAATTAAGAATACTATGTATAGATTCTCTGGTTGCAACCTCCGTCGAAGGGCTGAAAGTCATCGTGGACTTGTCAAAATTTATTTCCTGGCCCGAGGTCCTAGCATACTTACACAAAATCTCCTTGAGCTTGTTCGCATCAGCCTCCGTAGCTCGGCAAAAGATGAGTGTATCGTCCGCAAAGCATAGGTTAGAAATTGTTGGGGCCGATGCAGCCACCCTAACGCCGTTTAACTCCCCATTATTGGTTGCTTGCTGAATCATGGCAATGAGAGCTTCGGCGCAACAAATGAACAGATACGGGGAAAGGGGGTCCCCTTGTCGGAGACCTCTAGACGGGTGCAACGAGCCAAACTGCGAGCCATTAAAGAGAAAGGAATAAGAAACCGTAGATACACAAAGCATGATGAGCTCAACCAAATTATTCGGCAGGCCAAAGCGAATAAGAATTTTCCTAAGGAATTTCCATTCGATCCGATCGTAAGCCTTACTAATATCAAGTTTAATTGCCATATAGTTTGTTTTACGGCTAGAGTGCAGTTTAATGAAATGGTTAATCTCATAGGCAACAAGCACATTGTCAGTAATAAGACGACGTGGAACAAAGGCAGATTGTGTGGGGGAAATTAAATCATCAAGCACTGTTTTAATACGATTAGCTAGGGTTTTCGAACCGAATTTATAAATAACATTACACAAGCTAATTGGCCTCTATTGAGTGATGTGTTCGGGATTTAGGACCTTGGGGATGAGAACAATAAATGTGTAATTCACCGAGGGGGGCAGTTTCTTATTATTAAGGAAGTCAAGAACACACGACAGCACATCGGGACCAAGAATATTCCAAAATTTAGTATAAAATAATACGGGGAGGCCATCAGGGCCGGGAGATTTAAGGGGAGCCATCTGAGAGATGGCTCGGGTTACCTCCTCGGCAGTGAAAGGTTTTGACAAGTTCTGGAAAGCTTCATCCGAAATCCTCCCTCCCACATGCTCCATCACCTCATCTATTTCCTCATCTTGCGGCTCTGTTGTTCGGAAAATATGATGAAAATATTCCGAAATCACCTGCTCAATCCCATCCCTAGTATCCTTCCATCTACCTGAATTGTCCTTTATCCGGTCAACTCTATTTGTCTTGTGATTTTATTCCTTTAATGTTTAAATTTTGGTTTTGATGATTAATAAATTTAATCTGAATCTAATACCTAATGGTAAATTTATTATATATTTAAAAACAGTCACTTTTTAGGTGTCACATTCGTGGAATTCAAATGCATCTAATACTCTAATACTCTCAATATGTGCAATATATATATATATATATATATATATATATATATATATATATATATATATATATATATATATATAGATAGAGAGAGAGAGAGAGAGCGCAATATATATAATAATTTTTTAAATCAATTTTTTTTAATCGAAATGTGTTTCTAGTCACTAATTTTGTTAAAAAGATTTAAGTTAACATGAATTTGTTTTAGTAAAAACACAAAATGGACAAGATTTCTTATTCCAAAATAAACAAATTAAACTCGCAATTTTTAGATTTTTATTGACCTATCAAATGGCCCAAAACACTAAGTATTCTCAAATTTATTAATTCTTGTTATTATGGAAGATAGAATTATCGGGAAGATGGAAAAGAGAAATTCAATCTTCAGATCATTGAAATTCAACATGTATGGAGAGAGCTATTTTGTATTTTATATATATATATATATATATATATATATATATATATATATATATATATATATATATATATATATATATATATATATATATATATATA